TGTCAGTTAATACGGAACTGGATTTAATATCTTCATACCTTAATTTTGCTGAATTGTAATTTTGCTGAATAGTTACTAAAAATTGTTGGAAGTAAAAAGTTAAATTGACAAAACCGAAAGAGATATTTAATCAGTTTTGCATCTGGAAACATCTTTCTTTATTTTGTCTGTCCAACAGTGCAACCAGTGTACCTTCACATGCTGTTTTTGAGTTTTGTTCCAAGTTTTTTTTTTTTTTTGTGCATTTCAGTGGCATGTTTGTGCAACAGGTTGTCTGTGTTTATGAACTCAATGTGCAGGTTTGATATTGCTATAGATACTGTGGGAATGTTTTCTTCTTAGAGGTACAACAGTGGTCCTTAAAAATGTTACTTTGGCCATGCCTCTGGCAACAGAAAATTTGTGATGGTTGTGCCCTTCATGAATAAAATACTCTCCAGAGTGTAAGATTTCTTTCATAGGCTTTATTAGAAGCTGTGGTTGAGGGGGGGGGGGAATGCATGCCACTTAACTTCATGCCCGAGTAGTTGGATTCAGATTTAATATGGTGCAGTCTTTTATTCCTTCAATGGGATGGAAGATTTACTGAATTGATGTTCCATGATGGGCATTACTCACCGTAGCAGAATTTAGTGACCAGCTGCGTTGGAATGGAGGATGAAGACCTCACTGTTGGCATTTGGTATTTTTTCTCAACCTGAAAAGGCAAAGAAAAGCTTCTCCTTTGGAGAACTGAGTTGTTTTTGTTTTTTTTTTTTTTGTTCATCCTCCTAGAGACTAATAAAATGTATGTAATAGAAGCAGAGCTGCGGTAAAGCCATTGTGTAGAAGAACTTCCTGAATGTCACAAAGCATTGTGTGTACATGCAAGAGTACATGTTTGGGAATGCTGAAAACTCAGAATGTGAGTGATTAGATAAAGCAGCGATGGTATGGGACTGTAGTGGCAGAACATTTGGAAATAAAAACAGTGGAGTAGCTCTGTTTCTGGGACCAGCTCTTGGAAAAATATCACCTTTTTCGTGTTCTTTTCCAATCACGTTGGTTTGAAGGAGGTGGGAAAGCCTCAAGAGTTAAGCGTTATAATGGAGCACTTGACAATGGAGATCTTGATTCTGTTTTCATAGTGGTTTATTTACCAGATGACACCTTTGTAAATAAAACAGGAATAAAGTCCATCTTGCATTGTGAAAATAAGGTGCTTTTTTAAGTATCTTGCCTGGTGCATGTAATTAAGCAAAGGCTTTCTCAGAAGCACCATCATTTCATAATTTAAATCTTGATTGAACTACAGATCCTCATTTCATCTGATCCTCAGTGTCATATTTCCTATATATCTGCTTTGATACTTATTTTACATACAAATTTTCCAGAAAACAGAAATTCAACAAGTAGTTGAACATATTGCATCTTAGGTATTCTGTTTCTTTTCAAGGTTTACGCAACGAATATGTTGTAAGATGACTTTGCAGAATAAGTAATCCAGTAGTTTTCAGTGGAATTCTGTGGTTTGTGATTTCCCAGGTGAAAATTTTGCCACTTACCTTGTCTGTCTGCTGGATTGCAGTTTAATGCAGTAAATTTCTGAGTATAACTTTGTGTGTGGTTTGAGATAAACTGAAGTTCTCCAGGTAAACAGTAACATCTTCTTGTTGGCTTCACAGAATAATTTCTTGTCCCAATCTTGCTTTAAGAAAACTTTAACAGAAAATATGCTTTTGTTATCATTAAGTCAGTTTTCTTTTTTCTTTTGATTTAAATGTAAAGACAGATTTATGAAAGTGACTGTAGAGATGGTGCTGGCCTATATATTATTTCCGGCAAGGCATAAAAAGTTGGTCGTTCTTGGGCCTAAAATCAGCAAGGCATGTGACACGAATGCTCCTCCATACCTGTCAGACCAGGGTCCTTAAGGACCACAGGACATTGCTAAAGCAGAAAACTACTTTGCGTGCTCCTCTTTATGAATGTTCCGTGATTAAGCTTTTAAAAGTCACAACCCCCAACATGCAACTGCAGTTTCATGGTAGCTGTGACATTATTTTACTATCCGTGCTGTGAATTTCATTCTGTAGTAAAATTGATATTATATAGGCCTTTTAAGTTGGTTGTCAGTGGAGAATAGGGAAGCTACACTTACAGCATCTGTATGCAATCTTAGCGACAAGTAGGACCCTCTGGAAAGCTGTTACTGTTGGGGCAGAACTAATCATTCCATGTGAAATTATGTAAGGAGAATTAGCTCTGACTCTACCTCATTTCCTTTCATACTGCTGTGAAAATAAGCTCAGAAACGTCAAACCTTCCCTCCTCATCTCTCTAAATACTTTATTAAACACTTCTTTTTATTAAGGCTTATTTATTGCAGGTGCTAGAAATGAAAATAACTAACTGTATTTCTAGGTACTAACAGGATGTGCATCCTTGCCCAATTTGGCAGTTTTGATTTCCTTCTCAGGACTGGATTCTTAGGATTGGTTGCTGTGCCTTCTCTGTACTTTTGACTTTATTTCCCCGGTGGATCATTCAGAGTACTTCATTTTTAAGGTAGCATGCTTGATGTGATAGAAGATTGTCAATCACAGACTGCCTTGGCTATTTAGAAAAAAGAGATATCAAAAGCCTGTGTGGAGCTCTAAGGAGCAGTCAGGTCACCTGCTGATTTGCCTGGCAGGAGTCTAAACTCGTACAGCCTTTAGATTTAGGAAAGAAAAGGCAGATCTCTGGAGGTCATTTGCTCTACAATAAGACCCTGTTATGTGCGCGGGCATACAGTGTTCATTGTAAAGCCAGATAGATGTGTACAGATGGTTTCTCACGTGTTCATCTTCTAGGTCTTAAAAACAATCAGTGATAATTTCTGTAACCCCTCCATAACCTAACTTATTTAAGTATCCCAAGAGGTAGCATGTTTCCTTAAATACTGTTTTATTATTTTCCTAACCCTTTGCAGTAGTGGGACATGATAGTCATTTTTGTAACTGCTGTTAACCTGTTTTGAAGCCTTAAAGCCTGTGCTCTCTTTTTTCACTATTTTTTTTGTTTGGTTGTTTTTTTTCGCTACTTAGCAAGGACATTTTCCTTTAACTTTCCCTGATTGCTTAGGTTTTCTTCTGAGCTTTTCTCTGTTTCCTACATCTGTGTATCGAGGCCTGAACATAATACACATTCTTAGTCAGTCAATATCAGTGATGAATAGAGTATATATAACCATTTTTTGTGTATGATGCTTCTGTTAATAAATCTTTCACTTTTTGCAGTCAATTCAGTATTAATAGCCCAATTTCAGTTTTGCTGTTAATCCCTTCATCCTACTTTTTTAAATTCTGCTTCCCAGAATGCTTGCAGCCCTTCCCAGGTAACTACAAAATTTTGCAATTACATTGTTCATCATCCAAGTAATAAATGAAAACATTAATCCTACACTGAAAATGCTGTCTGCATTATTATCTGTGGGCCAAGAGGAAGAGGCTTATTATAGTTGGAGTCCTGCAAACAGTACTTTGCTGCAGACCTGACCTTTGGAGATGAAGTCACAGAATGGCATGGTTGTGCTTTGACCCCTTCGTTACCTTTTGGGCTGTTTTCTCATTTTGGTTCCTTATGTTCATATCCGTCCTGTACTGGGGAGCCTGGAACTGGACAAATGAAGTCAGAGATCTTGTAACTACAGATGTTTAGAGAGCAAATCTTCAGTGAGATAAAACAAATTTGGAGAACTTTTGCATGGATCTGCACACCCAGGTTGATGTTGGTTTGGTTCCTGGGAGCGGTGTGTAAAAATCACCTGTAATTAATTGGATAAAGATATATGTTCACGCTTCCATTTCTGACTAAATTGAGGTGCATCCATGTACAAATGGTCATTTTTCATGGCTGCTAGATAACGCTTTAAGAAAAAAAAAAATCTTTGATCAAACAGATACCAGTATTTGAAGTGTTATTTTGTGAACTGTGTAGACAATAGGAGAAAGGGAAGAAAGAGGGTATCTCTACTTCAAACCTTTTTCTTTCATGCTATTTGCTTGGAATGTAGTCTGAATTGTTTTTCTTTTATGTTAGTGTTTTAGTATACCTGGCATAATCAGAAACACTTTGTTTTATCTCCTGCACTGGCATTTCCAAAAATGAAGTGACCAAGAGAAGATGCTGGAGAGTCGGAAAGTTGCAAGGACTGTAGCTTACAGTTAAGGAAGATGTGATTGCAACATCTGTGCCTAGGAAAGCTTCAGTCTGATCCGCCTTCTGTCTTCAGGATTTCTGGGATTCCAGAAGCACAAGTGGCGCAGATAAGACATGTCCTTTGAGGTTTTAAAATGCTTCTGCTTGGATTGTAAGGCTCTTCCTTATTAGGCCTACAGGAAGCACATCTCCTGTAGTGCAGCCAAATTGGTATTATTAAATACTTCTCAGACTCTCCCGTGGTAACTCCGTGGTAACGTTATTTGGGTGGTTCCCTCTGTGTATTGACTAGCTGAGTATGCAGCCTCAAGGTGTAACTGTGCATGATAATTTCTGACTTGCAAGCTGTGATAAAATCCAAAGAAGAGTTCATAGAGGACTTTACACTTTTTTCCTTAAATTGGGCTCTTCAGTGCTAAAACTTGGAACGTCTAAGTTGGAATCTTCATTAGAACACAATGAGGAATAATAGGAAGAAAACCCCCAAAGCCTGCATCAGAAAAAAATTGTTTTCTTTATTGATTCTCCCCCTTGCTAAGTATGTTATTGCAAAATGGATCTTTGCCTGTTCTCAGTGCAGCAGGTACGTTGGTTTCTGGGTAGGATAAAATTCTGCATATTCATTCCGGGGTTATTAAGAAAACCCTGCCCTTTTTCATCATCTTTGAGCAGCAGTTGTGTGTACTTTCTGATCTTGAGACTCTTCTGCATATGTTTGGGTTCCCTGCTTGCTGTGCTTTGCTTCTGCTGTTGTATCCTGCTCTTGGAAGCTGTGCCTGGTGAGATGTGCTTGCTTTTCTCTTACCTTTCAGGTAAACTCTGGTCCGCTGTGAAGCCTGTGGGAAGATGCAAGTCGATGGCCTTCCTTTGCTCCAGCTATAACCTTTTTGAAAGGACTTCACTTAATACAGTGCCCAGCGGACAAAGCAGGTATACTCTGTGGGAGTGCAACACAAAATAGAAATTGAAAGATTTATTGCTGTAAGTTCAGGAATATGTTCTGCAAAAGAAAAAGTCTGTAAGTAATATATTAAAAGAGGAACTGGCTGAAACATGAAGACAACCTCTAAATGAGAAAAGCAGGTGTTTTGTATTATTTCCTTCATGTTTAGTTTTTATGTTGGTATCTTCATAACAATGCATGACAAATGAATATGCTTTACTCTCAGTGATAATTAAAATTCGATTACCTGAATATTTATGTTGTTCAGTACTTAGAAATATTTGGTGAGTTTTATACTTCACTGGAATCATAGAGTAATTTTGGAAGTCAAACAGTATATTTCATTGCAGACTATCCTAAAATAATTTCTTAATCATTTGGATGCATTAGCATTGCATTAAAAAGTGTAAACTTTGAAAATGTAGTTAGTAAATTCTGTGCAAGAACTGAACTCTGTTCTGTTTTCTAGCATTAATTATGCAAGTTTGGAATTTCTCAGTTTCACTTAAAGGTGGGCTTTTTTATTTGTATGTAGCCATTGAAGTAAATCACCGGTACAACAAAACATTGTACTCAGAAATGAGGGATGCCTGGATTTGGCTCTTCTAACTGAGACAGTTTAATTCATCCATCATCAGGGATGATGTTTTTCAGCAACACGAAGTATTTTTAGCCAGAGTGCTTTCGCAAAGTTTCACATTTTTCTTCAAATAAAGCCTTGGTAGTGTTTTATATGACCTGACATTTGTCCATCTGTCCTGAAGCTCCCAATACTTTTCTATTCTTTCCAATGACCAAATGAGCTGATACACATTTTTTTCCAGCTTAATAATATGTAACTTGACTTAGAGAACCATTTCGCATGTCAGATTTTCCAAAGGTTTCTGGGAAATTATTTGTTGCTCTGGATAGCAAAGCTAAAAGTTATTAAAAAATGTGTTATCTGTTTTATTATGAAACTATAAGAAAAATATTGGCTTGGGAACTAACTAAATGCTTTCTGATAACCATAGCCTCAGGGAGGATACTTGAATCATTTGTAATAAAGGGATATCTTTTGATATCTTCTGGTGAATTGACTAGTATTCTGTTTAGATCATAATTTATGGAAAACCTGGCTTGATACACAATGTTACATTATCAGATTGTTTGGATGTAAGAATTGCCTTTATGTATGGTTAGGATTTTCAGTGTTTATTCTTTTAATGTGCTCTATGAAATCAGAAAAAGGTGTTGATATTAAGACTCTACCTTTATCTCTTGCTTTCCGTTTTTTTAACGTGTGAAACTGATTTGATCAGTGCAGTTAGAGCTCGGAGTTGCGGGGTAGATTTGGCCTAATAAACCCCTTCAGGTATATAACAAGTGTTACTCAGAACTGAGAGCAAGCACCTTTCAAATACAATGTATTATTTTGCTTTGAGAAATAGCACTTTATTTTTTACTTTTTGGTAAACTGGTATGAAAACTTACATAGTTCTCCATGTGAATGGTAACTAAGCCTCTTATTTCTTGCCTTGAGGGGAGAAGTTTAGTGGTTATAGGATGAAGGCAGTGTGTAGTGATAAGTGCTTGAAAAATGTTGTGATGAGTTAATGATTTCTTAGGTTATTTTACAAAGAAGGTGTACAGAAACCATTTTAAATAGTGGGAAAACAAATTACAGAAATACTTGTTTATTTCTTCCTCATAGTTAAGCCCCCACCCCCATGTTGCAGCTCACACTGTCCTAGCTTTATTTTGCCAAGTTTTCATAGAATCATAGAATGGTTAGTGTTAGAAAGGACCTTAAGATCATCCAGTTCCAATCCCCCTGCCATGGGCAGGGACACCACACACTAAACCATGTCACCCAAGGCTCTGTCCAACCTGGCCTTGAACACCTCCAGGGGTGCAGCATTCACAACTTCCCTGGGTAACCAGTTCCAGTGCCTCACCACCCCTACAGTAAAGAACTTCCTCCTTACATCCAATCGAAATTTCCCCTGTTTAAGTTTTAACCCATTACCCATTGTGCTATCACTACAGTCCCTGATGAAGAGTCCCTCCCCAGAATCCTTACAGGTCTCCTTCAGATACTGGAAGGCTGCTATGAGGTCTCCATGCAGCCTTCTCTTCTCCAGGCTGAACAGCCCCAACTTTCTCAGCCTATCTTCATACAGGAGGTGCACCAGCCCCCTGCTTTGCACAAGTCCAGGTAGATGTCAGCTGCTTCGCCTCTACCTGTCAGTTCCACAGCCCCATCACAGAAGGCCACCAAATTGGTCAGGCAGGATTTCCCCTTAGTGAAGCCATGCTGGCTGTCACCAAGCACCTTGTTGTTTTTCATGTGCCTTAGCATGCCTTCCAGGAGAATCTGCTCCAAGATTTTGCCAGGCCCAGAGGTGAGACTGACTGCTCTGTAATTCCCTGGGTCATCTATTTTCCCCTTCTTGAAAATGGGGGTTATATTTCCCTTTTTCCAGTCATTGGGAGCTTCCCCTGACTGCCATGATTTTTCAAATATGATGGCCAGTGGCTTTGTGACTTCATTTGCCAGCTCCTTCAGGACCCACGGACAGATTTCATCAGGTCCCATGGACTTGTGCACATTCAGGTTCCTAAGATGGTCTTGAACCAGATCCTCTCCTACAGTGGGCCTAAGGTCTTCATTCTCACAGTCCCTGTATCTGCCTTCCAAGACTTAGGTGGTGTGGTCAGAGCATTTGCCAGTGAAGACTATGGCAAAGAAGTCATTAAGAACCTCAGTTTTCTTCAAATCCAGGGTAACCAGTTCTCCTGATAGCTTCAGGAGAGGGCCCACGTTGTCCCTAGTTTGTCTTTTATTTGCAATGTACCTATAGAATCCCTTCCTGTTGTCTTTCAGATCCCTAGCTGAGTTTAATTCTAACTGGGTCTTAATTAATTATTTAAATTAATAAGGTAATAAGGTAGAGACTTAGCCATCTCTAACTATGATTCCATGTTTAATGAAATTTCATTCTGTTTAATGAAAAAAAAAAAAAAAGAAGTGCCTGAGTTTAGACCAAACGCTGACTCAGGTCCGGAAACATGGGATCCTTCCCATTGACTTAAAATGGGTATGTGAGGCTTTTTTCTGATGGCTCATATAAATAAAAGTGAATGGGCATTAGATTACACATCCATCATTCTGATTATCACTTGAACTGCTCAGCATGTGTAACCTGGTAAGCATTTGCCAGTATTGTATTTAACTGTACAGATGCTATTAGAACACTATATTCTGAATTTTATTTAATTTATTGTGGTGGTCTAATGCTCTACAACTGGAAGAGTTTGAGGCAGAAAGATAAATGATCAGGAGCATGCACATTCTGCGTGGAGTATCAGTTTTTTTTAGCATCTGGAGGTCTAGTTACTCAGATACAAAGCATGCTTTTTACTGCAGTAAGAATATGTTGAAAATTATACTTTTAAGTCAATATAAACCTATTTACAGTATAATATATTAGATGTGTAAATGCTCTCTTGTGGAAAAAAGGGTTCTGCCCATCCGACTTCAGAGCTTAAGAAAATTTTCGGTTTCCAGCCTCTTAATTTTTTTGTACTCCACAGATTACAGAGCAATTAAATGTGTCCGACCTTGAACATTTGGTAATTTGATCATTCTCAGGGAGATGTTTTACAGTTTGGGTCTTGGATGTGGGGCTGGGATTTTGGCATGTGGACAAGTTTGGTTTTTTTAAAGGTTGAATGCTGTTAGAGCCTGTTGCCTCTGCTCACAAGACTTTCCCCCATTTTATAGCATCCAAATATGAGACAGAGGCATTGTCTTTAAGTGTTTTAAATAATTTTAAGATCCACTGAAGGGATATATTCGGTCAGATGAGCAGGGGTCACTCCTCAGAACTAAAAGACTTAGAGAAACGTGATGATTTGAAGTGTGGTCAGGGTTTTAGTAGAGCTACTACAGAAAACATGAAGCATCACAAAGAGGTTGAAAACGTCATGTATTTTTGTGGGCCAGCTCTCTTCCCTTTGCCTGTTGTAGCTCCTGAATGGTGAAAACATCCAAGAATACATGCATGTGGAGAGAATGTTTGGATTGCGGTATAAATGTAAATTTGTATGTGAGTTTGATTGGCAGGACAGTGATTCTGCCTGGTGTTATGACATTAATGTTACCTGCACTTGTGAGAGGAGCTGCAGGTCTCCCAGGGTCGCAAGTGAAGTACCCCACCTGAAAGACTGATGTTGGGATATACAGTCAAATATATCTCATTTTTTTTAATCAGTCTTTTACATATAAGTAGTCTTTTGAAGTCCTGGTAAGTATGATATTACTGTTTTCTTTTTCATTCCATTTGTGTTTTAAATGAGACCAGTCACTAGTTTTGTTAGTTTTTGTTAGTGGATTATCATGAATCTTACACATCCATTCCTTCTGCTTGCCATCCTCTGCTCTCCCTACTTTTGTGTTAGTCTGGGTTGTGGCTCTGCACTTGATTTAAAGTCAGTAAAAATCTCTATCAGAGCTTCTGTTAGTGTTGAAAGTCTGTAATCACTTAGGATATTTTTATGCCACATGAGCTTTGGAAAGCAGATCCTGAATGTGACTTTGATTTTTTGAGGGGGAAAAATCCACATATTTTCATTGTTAGTGGAAACTGTAGATGAGAACCTCAAAGAGGAACACTGGGGCAGCCTCCATAGGTTGTCCACAGTGTATTTGGTCAAAAAATAAAAAGTTCAAGGAATGTGACGTGGTTCTTGATGCAGAAAAAAGCTTCTGTATGCCTAATACATTGGAAAACATTTGTTCAAGAGCACATCTTCCTTGTGCAAAATTTGCCCCTGTATTCTTATTAAGGTCAGTATCCACATAGGTTATCTCATACATACTGAATGTGATGCCCAAGGTTTTAGCTTGTAAATGAACCTGAAAGTTCATTTTTAGTTTTAGCTTGTAAATGAACTTGAAAGAATGTTCTGTTCGGTCATATTAGAACTACGTAAATTGTTTGCT